CAGAGGGACAGACGGACGGACAGAGGGGAACGTGCCTGGATTTTCTCTCTCAGCTCCTTGTTCTGCACGGTCAGGGACTGCACCTGCCCCCGGAGCGTGGCCAGCAGCTCCTCAGCCGAGGGGCTCAGCGTCTTCTTGGAGAGCAGCATCTCTGCTCCTGCAGGGCACAGGGACCTGGGGCTGTGCCCACCTGTGCCCCCCTACCCAGTGCCACCTCCCCAGGGTGTCACTGGGAGGCTGGCAAGACCTACCTGGGAACTCAAGCGGGTCTCCCTCCTCGTCCTGCAGCGTCTCAATGTCGTAGCTCGTGTTCTCCTTCTCATTCTGGGGGTGCAGGGTGGAGGTGACGCCCCTGTCCCAGCCCTGGGCACTGCCAGCTGTGTCCTGCCCACACCCACCTCCATCGAGGACAGGCGGCTCCGCAGAGCCTCCACCTCCTTGCCCAGCTTCTCCTTCTCCCCGTCCCGTGCCACCAGCCGCTCCTGCAGCTCCTGGATCTGGAAACAGGGTCCCTTTGGCTCCTGGCAGAGTCCTGGTGGCATTCCCGGCACCAAGACCCCTTGGAGAGCTGAGGTCACCTCCAGGCTCTTCCCTGGCCTCACCTGTTTCTCCATGGAGCGCAGGGAGGCCTCATCCAGCTCTGCCCGCTGGCCGGACCCAGGGAGAGAAAGGGAGGGATCAGTGCTGTCCCCGTCTCCCCTGTCCCCTCTGCATGTCCCCAGGACCCTGCAGCCGGTACCTCCCGTCTCTGCTTCTCCTGCTGCTCCAAGCCCCGGATCTTCTGCAGGAACTGGGCCCTCTCCTGCCGCAGCCGCACGATCTCCTCGTAGGCGTCCCGGTCCTCCTGCAGGGAATCATGGAAAGCATAGAGTCCAACTCCTGGCACAGGAAACCCCCAAAATCCCACTGTGTGCCCCAAGGGGCTTTTTGGCACCGAATCCTCCAATGAGGAGACCCTTCATTGAGGTGTTTTGGGCTGCTCTGCACCTGCCAGGCCAGGTGAGCACCTGGGGACCCATTTCTCACCTGGCTGGGGGTGCCCAGGGGAGGCAGAGGGGCCTTCCTCTTCCTCGGGGTGCTGCTCTTCTCCCTGACAGATGACTGGCTGGGCGAAGATGTCTGCGGACACCCCAGAGCAGAGGGGACGTCACACCCACAGTGCCCTCCCTCCTTCCTGAGCCAGGGGACCCTCCAGGGACGGCCACCAGCCCCTCACCTGCGACGCCTGCTCAGTTGACTCCTCTTCTGTGGGGCACAGCAGGAGGGAAGAGAAATTGGGGAGATTTAGGGGCTCAGAGCTCAGAGCTGAGGCACCTCAGCTGGGGACAGCCCCAAACACCCAGAAAAAGGGGACACATCCAGTGACAACCCCCAGGGATGGTGACAGGGAGCCCCGGCAGCCTCACCGCTGGCCCAGNGCACCAATCCCCTGCTGTCCCCAGGTCCCCACAGCCCCCCGTGCCCACCCCGGTGCCCCCAGAGAGGAGCCACCCCATTCGTGTGACTATAAATAACTTTATTGCTGCTGTGCTGGGGGTGGGCTGGGTGGCCGGACAAGCAAAGGGACACACAGGGTGCTGTGACAGACCTGTCCCCCCTGTCCCTGTGCCACCCGTGCTGGCAGGGGCTCATCTGCCCTGCTCCTGCAGCCGCTGCATGCTCAGGATCTGGCACAGGAGTCTCTGCACGTCCTCGTCCATGTGGCCCTGGGGTGGAGGGGACATTGGTGGGCACGTTGGAATGGGGACATCAGGGAGGCTCCGTGCGTGTCCCTGGGCTGGCACCCGGCTCAGCCCCTACCCCAGTGTCCCAGATGTCCCCAGCCCTGTCCCCAGCTCACCTGCACAGCATAGAGCAGGTGGCTCCGGTAGAGTGTCACCACCTTGCTGTGCCTCGTCTCTGTCTCCTGCAGCACAGGGAGGGGGTTTGGCCACAGGGCTGGGGGCTCGGGGGAGCCCCGAACCCCACAGGTGACCCACCTCCAGCTTCTCCTCCAGCTCCTGGATCCGTGCCTGGAGCGCAGCTGTGTTGGGTGGGGATTGTGGGGGCCCCCCTGGCTCGTCTCTGTCTCCTGCAGCACAGGGAGGGGGTTTGGCCACAGGGCTGGGGGCTCGGGGGAGCCCCGAACCCCGCAGGTGACCCACCTCCAGCTTCTCCTCCAGCTCCTGGATCCGTGCCTGGAGCGCAGCTGTGTTGGGTGGGGATTGTGGGGGCCCCCCTGGCTCGGGGAGGGCGTTCAGGGCTTCCTTCAGCCTGAAAACCTCCTTGGAGAGCTCCGTGATCTGCAGGGGCACAGGGGTTACGGGGTGCCCAGAGCAGCTGTGGCTGCCCCATCCCTGGCACTGTCCAAGGCCAGGCTGGACGGGGCTGGAGCAGCCTGGGACAGTGCAGGTGTCCTTTCCCATAGCAGGGGGGAATGGGATGAGCTTTAAGGTCCCTTCCAACCCAAATTCAGTAACTCCACGTGTGCAAGGCCACCATTCCCCTC